TCCTCTCCTTCACTTTGACAGTACATTAGTGAATATTCTTGGACTGAAGACTTCCCTTCCAGTCAAGACGCTGTCGGAACAGGGCCCGCCTGATTAAGATGGATGTGTGTGGCCGGGACGAGGCAGAAAGTGCCCATGGCCGCCCTCCTCCGATTTCCCTCTCCAGCCTGACAGCTGTCTATAACACTGCTGCCTCTACCTGTAAATTATACTAATGCAGAGTGACATCCAGCCTGCCCCACTCCTATAGGCAAGGCCACTCGGCGGACCTGCAGTGTGACACAACCGCTGGAACAAGAGAGTGTGTTGTAGGGTGATCAGCGCATCAACCCTGCACTCACCTACACCTCAATCTTTGACTTTCTCCTCTGAATATAAAGTCTGCTCGGCGGTCTAATGCTTCCAAGAAATGAACTCCCTTCAAGGCCAGATCGATGGGGCGATGGTGGCCGTGCATAATTTTCCGTGCAATGCGTGGTTTGGCTAAGTACCATAGCCAAGGTTTAATGTTTCAAGGTTTGCTTTTAAGTCTAGCATTCGTCTGGAAAAGTGCACTGCCACTTTGAGGTAAAGGATTTCTAACAAACTCAAAGAAAGTGGCAAGCGGTGCACCCAAAACAAAGCAAAAAGATAAAGGGAAAAGGCTTTTAGAGCAGGTAAACATACAAAAGTGTCTAAGTTAGGCATTTCTGAGAAAGATGCATCAAAGACACCCATCAGTGGGCCATAGACTCAATCCCCTTTTGTGTTATGTCCTTAGGTGAAAGAACATGATTCAACAGACATTTATTCAAATCAAAAACACTTTGAAATTGTCCCTTTTAGCAAACAAACTTTTGCCTTGTTCATTTTGTGTCCCATAAGGTAGGCATCTTTCCCAATTTCCTCCCCGGGATCAATACAACTCATTAAACAGTGGTGATGTGTCTAAAGCCATTACTAACCCCAGAGCTATTACTAATTTATTCTGTAGCTGCAATTCATTCTACAAATTCTGTACCGTCGGACCAAAATGAAGTCATGGTAAAAGCAGCAGAAAACTCTCACCTCCGTCTCCAAGAAGCGCCGCAGGGCCCTCTTCTTCTTGATGCTCTTGCGGCGGACAGAGACGGCCACGCTGAGCGCCAGAATGACGATGATAAACAAACCGCCGATGATGCCAGCTGCAATTAGCGGTGTCCTGTAGAGGCGGAGGAAGAGGAGAAGCAAGAACATTGCAGGAAACCAAAAAGGCAATTTGAGAGGAAGTGCAAGGCTCAGAAAATGACCACTTCTTAAACGTACCAAAAAAACTACTTCCTACAATTCCTTTTTTCTCTCTTCATTTTGCACACCTCTCTATCTTTATCCTTTCAACTAGTTACTTCCAGGCTAGAGATGCCAGGTTGTGCTCTTGCCCATACTGTAGTTCCACACTTTTCATTTAAGCAAGACAGTAAGTACATAGGTTTTCAGGCTCTTGACTATTTTTTGTTTCTTACGTAACGTGTTTTCTTTTAGAATAGTGGAAAGAAAACATCCAAACTACACATTCAGGTCTTTTTTGACTAACTTTGTTGCGTGTCTGTAGATTTATCCAACATAAATACAAAATATTACATTTAAAAGAAAGAATGTAAGACAATACGTAATGTCTTAATCGATGATGAGGTGTACGGAGTGCATGTTGACCCCCTTCTGTAGTGTCCTGAAAAATGTGTGAAATGTTACGATAAATACATTTAAGGCGGTATTCTCATTATTACATACGCCAACACTTTCAAGTTTCATCTGTACGTCTATAATCTATTATTTTGTTCTTCTTCTGAACAGTATTCGGCAAAATAACTTGATGGAGAAAAGTCCTTTATTTAACAAAGCATGGAAATTGTTTTATTTTGCTTTAATGGAATTTAAACGTGCTACCCAGCGTAAGTCCTCCTCGACTATAACTCCTAATAAATGCGGAATTAAAAGTACCAATCCTTCCCAAATTGCTTTTGAATCTTCTGGGGGGTGGGGAGGGGGGGAAATCTGTTTAAGTCAGGCCTAAAGGTTGGAAGTTAAAAGCACTTCCTCTTCGATAATAACACCGCTAATGCTTTTGCCATTTACATACCTCTTGCACTTGTGTCTGCCATTATGCCAAGGCTACAATCTCTCCTACTATTCCTCTCTTTTCATTTATCCTTCCCCTCTGTATTCCATTTTCACCTTCTCGCCAGAAATATTATTTTAAAAACATAGCACCTGCTTCTACCTGACTCCAAAACTCTATTAGTTGTAAAGGCCATTAGCGGCTAATGGAAGTCTCATGTACCACGGAGCTACGGATAGCAAGGTGTCGTCTGCTTTAGATATCGATTGTGAAGACCCCAAAGAAGGGCGGGGACGGGGGACGGGGGGTAGCTTGAAATGTACAAAGAGGCTGTGGGGGTTCGACATAATGAGATATACAGCCATGTGGTGAATAGTAATGCAGCAGTTTGGCATGGATTCAACAAACAGGGAGACAAGGAGAAACAACAACAAGGGGACGTATAGGGGAAATTAGAAGACATGGAGGGAAAAGAGAGAGACACGAAGTAGAGCAGGAGACAAGAGAAAGGACTTCTCCAATTAGGAAGAAAGGGTTTACAGCGGAACAAGCGACACGAGGTCAGCGAACGAGACGGGGGAATGGTGCCGCTGTAAGAGCAAAAAGAACAACTCTGGGAGTAGAGACTCAGCAGAAGCCTGCCAGGGGGAAATAAAAAAGGTCTCATTTATGTTCCCTCGGTTTAAAAGCAGCTCAAGACCCTCTTTTTTTATGGCTTTGCTGGTTTGGTTCAATTCTAATGAGTTTGTCACTCCTTTGAATGCGCTCTTACTGTAAGAGATCACTTGTTTTTATGGGCCTTTTTTAATGGAGTTCTTGTCGTGCCTTCAGGCTATTTAGGTGGATGTACACAAAATGCTTTTATAAACTTGGCTGTTTCATAATAGTTTTAGTAGCTGTGTTACTAGATGTAGCTCAGTATAGTTATTTAGAGACATATCACGTAGTGCCAAAATATGTATAGCGACAGTCTTCCCAAAATAAAACGTCTCCATGTCGATTTTGGAGATATTCGCCATAGATATTTTTGCCTTCTCTTCAATATAATGGAACTACATGGATTGTGGTTTGTTGATTACTGTTCCTTTCAGATTTGTTTCATTTTGACCTTATCCATAATTAGAATGACATCATAAAAGAGGGTCTTTCAATGTGGGCATATACGTTTTTTCCAGAAGAATTAGACAAGAACAAAACAATTATAACTGACACTTGTTACTGAGCATCATGGGAAACATTAATGAGTAGTGGCAGGTTTCGATGGTGGTCTCCCTGCCCCACATTACAAACACATCCTGAGATCCCTTACCTGTCCATCATCCCGACACAATCTTGGAGTCTCGGCCCGACGCACCTGCAGGGCAAACAAACCAAGAGAGATCATCCATTAAACCGGGGACAGGTTATGAGTAAACCTCGTCGTGTCTTTCACCCGCGTCAATCAGCTGTCACCTGCGCACAATTGAATCCACGAGCACGGACCAACACTTGTCAACAGGAGATGAAGAAGCATTTGGATGAAAAAAAACATTACCGTTCACTATCTATTTAAAATAGAAAATCTACTTCATAGGTGGCAAGTTGCAGTGTGTCTTGTCTCCGGTGAGTATTTGACCCCAAGTTAAACAGGGAGAAAAAGGTTTGCAAGTTCCTTCCAGATGTTTAGCTTTTTTTGGTTGTGATTAAAAAAAATAGTGTGATTTGCAGCTGACACTGGAGAATATTTAACTTCTTCCCGAATACAAGAAATAAATTAAATCTGTCGTGTTAACATGCCATTGATTTATGAGGCTTTTTTTGCATTTAGGTAAGTAGCAAATGCAGACAGTTGGCTGCTCGTTAATTCTATCTCCTTGAGTGGAGAGCTTTGAACAAAAGGATAGACACAGAAGAACGGGTTAGAAATGCTTCTGTGTGTGTGTGTGTGTGTGTGTGTGTGTGTGTGTGTGTGTGTGTGTGTGTGTGTGTGTGTGTGTGTGTGTGTGTGTGCGTGTGTGTGTGGGTGCGTTTCACACAAGACACAACAAATTACATAGCAAATTAGGAGAGCGTGCTAACTTTAGAATTAAATCGGTGACAACTGTGGCTTCTCCAAAGTCGCTCAGCTGTCAATTAAACGGTGCACCAAACAGCCAATTAGCTATTAATCACTGTCTAAAGAGTGTGTGTGTGTGTGTGTGTGTGTGTGTGTGTGTGTGTGTGTGTGTGTGTGTGTGTGTGTGTGTGTGTGTGTGCGTGTGCGTGTGCGTGTGCGTGTGTGTGTTAGTCAGTTTCCCTCCAGGAGAACAAAAGAGTAGTCGGACAATAAACATCCTCAGGCAGGTACAGAAAGTGTAGAAAGTCTCTTGTGCTAATGCTTCTTGTGTTTTGTATTGTTCCTAGTTGGCTACTACTTCAGGATTTCTTTGGATAACTTTCATATTGAAGTAAACGTAATAATTCCGAGGCCAGTTCTGGAGTAGATTAAGTTGTTTTGAGTGTTGATGGAGAAGCTCAAACGTTAGCATAGCCATTATCAAACAAAACTCCATTCAGAAAACAAGCATTCAAACAAGTTGTTTGTTTGTTTGTTGACTAGCAGACAGATTTGACACACATAATGTCAGACTTTTCCAAAATTGGCGTCATGATTTAGTAAAGTCGGCGACAGTTGGATACAGTACATTTATTGCAATGAAATCATGGAGAGCTAAACACAAATGATGCCGTGTTCACACTCAGCCAGGTTGAACATTTGAGGATAAGTTGAACATGTCTGTGTCAGATTTGCACCATTCCCTTTCGAATAATGCTGTATCTTTCCCTCCGTGCATCCCCGTCCTCTTCCCTCGAGAAGCCTTCGAAGGCGGTGTAACGAAGCAACTGGTTTAATCGTCTGCCCTGTTGAAGCTACAAACTCTTTACCCGCCTCAAGGGCGCCGCTGTTTCCCTGACACTGACCTTTGACCTCGCCAATGTCTCACTGCGGCTCAAGGCCTCTAATACCCAGACAAAGCTTCTGTCTGGATGTCAATCCGCAGCGCCCCGTGGCTGTAGGGCAGGATAAGATGACAACGCGTGATGGAGGTGTTGTCATGCCGACGACAGATAAATGTCCACGCGGTCGGGAGCGGTTGTGACTGGCTCACGGGAAGAATAACAGCTTCACATGTACCTTTTCTCCCTGCTTCTCTTACATTGTTTGTTTCTGCCTATTCACTCAGTGTGTACTTATACTATAAACACTTAAAGGGTCGCTGCAATAGCAAAAATAACCTCCTGCTATGTGAGAGAGTACATTACATCTCTTTCCACCTTGGATCATATCTGCAGCCCTGTTGCTAGGTTTCAGCACTCTAACTTTGTTTGCTCCACATACTTCTCCTCTGTATATGAACCATCCCCCCTGTGGTTTCCTGGATAGCGTGCTAAGGCAGCTATTTAAAAACACAGCCACAATGACCCAAAATCAATTCATGGAATTGTTTTTTACCGTCTATATCCGGCATATTTCAAACTGTTAGTTTTCTGTCGACGGATCAACTGATAAATGTATTTATTTATTATTATGAGTGTTGTTTTTTTGTTATCTTAATGTGTGCACATGTAGAAATGTGTCTACATAGGATATACATATTTTATACATATTTGTAATTTTATATTCGGGATTGTGGGAAACGGTATTTCGATCTCTCTGTCTGTAAACACAAACTGAAAGATTGACAATAAAGTTGACTGACTATTTCAGTACTAGCCTTCACAGTCCCATCTTACCTCTCTCCTAACAACTGTTCTTGGTGTGAAGTTCCTAACAAGGTATAAAACATGAATGACCTTATGTTGTGTCTAATAAGTCTGTCTTGTAGCAACAATGACACTCTACACTGAGGTACATCTTCAGGATTTCTATTGCATTTTCAGTGTTATGCTTTTTCTCAGGTACTTCTTCCACCTCCACATACAACCTTTCGACTGTCTCCCTTATCTTACATTTCCACGCTGTACACCCCACACCACCTTCCCCCTTGGCTTTATACCTCCCCTCTAGCTACTGTCTCTCTTTCACTCACAGTTCATCTGCACTATACTCCACGTGGCCTTTAGGGTCAATGCATTCTGCTTCTGACCGGAGAGCCAACAGGAGCCAGGTACAGGTCGGGGATTGAAGCAGCCTTTAGATTATGTTATCCCCTCTCCCTCTTTGGAAGAAAGGCACCCAATGTCCAAAAGCAGAATGTCTTCACAAGAATTTCAACCGCATAGAAGCACCTACGCTTTTGAATGTTCACATTTCTACATTCCTCTCTTACCCCTGGGTGCAGTTGGCGTGGCAGGGATGACACTCGTTGTTGGCCTTGGCGTATTTGAAGATGAAACCGTTGGGCCCCTGCACCCCATCGGGGCACTTCTCCACACAGTTGGGTCCATCTTTGAAGTGGAAGCATTTCACACATTGGTCCGGACCCTGAGGAAGAGGGAGGAGGGAGATGAGAGGAGGGGTTAGGAGGATGTGGCGGACAAGGGATGAATAAAGAAAAAGAGGGTGCGGTAATGGGATTAGTGAGATGGAACGACGGGGAATCAACAGAGAGAGGGAAGAAATGTCGGACAAAATAATGGGCGGAGGAAATAAAGTTAGGGGAAATTAAATGGGATAAAGCGAGAAGAAATAATGGAGGTGTCAGAAAATGTAAAAGGGGGAAAGAAAGGAATCAAATACAAACCTGGCGAATCATGTCAAATGTGCTCACTTCCCACCACGTTTAATGCGCGCGGCACATGAATGCCATTCAGTGATTTATAATGTGTTGAGCAAAATTGCCAAGAGTGTATTCCGACACGGCCCTGTTCAAATTGGCAAAACGCATAAGGAATCAGGTCGTGTCATCGAATGTGATAGAGGAGATGACAAGTGGTAACTGAGCTGAGCTGCAGTGTGTGCATACATGAGAGAGCAGTAGGGGCAAGGCTGTGTGTGTGTGTTTATGCTTTATTGGAACCGGCGTGTTGACTTCAAATAGTGCAAAGATTTGGAGGTGTGTGTTTTGGCGCCACGCTCCGTTGCTAATGACGGACGCAGTGACCTGACGGACAGCTCCTCACAGCTTGACACACAGATCCACACGCCATCAATAAAACATTATTCTCACTTTGCATCTTTGTGCGTACGCATGCGCCAGTGTGAAGGCATACAGATGTCTGATTGCATCCGAGTGTGTCCGTATATGCCGCATGCATGTGTATCTGTGTGTAAGAGCGCCTGCGGATGATTGACTCCGGTGTTATTTACTACTCGGCTGTGACCGGCATGGCAAAGTCGGGACGCCTCTGTGCATCCTTGAGGAGCGTCTCTCCCCCTCTTCATCTCTTATTCTCTCTCTGTCTCCTTCTCCAGGGACAGTCATGAAAGGTTACTCACACAAGCACTAAATTCCACATGCGGCGCATTCGATACAACCTGTGACACTGGAAATGCAAAATGTGTTGGAAGGGGGTGGAGCTAACGACTCCTAAAGGAGAAAGGTTGTTGCTTTCTTACACCTGCTTCCTATCAGCAGCACTCAACTTAAGCCGAATTATTACAAGAAAACATACATTAACAGTATTTCAGTGAAACATACATAGATGCAGAAACAATCTTTGAATGATTTTTAGCCATATGTGAATACAATAATAGATATTTCCTCTGACTATGGGCCATAACTCAACTTCTGAGAAGTCTAACTTGAGAAAGTATACATTTACATACCTGATAGATAAACCAATTGTGCGTGGTAAAGAGAATTATTTGGATCCCAATAACTATCCTAGCATAGGAAGCTGCTGCCTATAATGAAAAGTAACCCTAAAAAAGAGTTGTATACTATTTTTGAATTGTTTTAGAGATAAAAAGTTGTGGCTAAAGTTAGTTAGTTAGCTAACTTAATAGCAACATTATTCTTACATGTTAGCCCCTTTGTCTCTCAAACTCTCTTAACTCTAACAGGAGAGATTACATATTTGTTAGGATTTATGTGTACCTGTGGATTAATACACATTTAATGTCAGTATGTGTGGCTCTAGGACTTTTGAAGTACACTTAATTTCATCCTGATTGGAGACAGAACAAGCAGTGCAACAGGTGGCTCATTTGTGCTTTTGTGTTATATTTTCTGGGTGGATAAATGACATGTGAGGGATCAAATCTGGGAGCATAAAGGTAACTTTAAGGGAAGGTCATAAAGTAATCTCATTTTTCTCTCATGAGTGTGTGCTTGCCAAAAAGCATGCCTGCACAGTAGTTTATCATTCCTCCCATTAACCTAGCATTCACCTTTGCAAACACGGCACATACATCTTTTCAAATCCGGTGCGCGAAACAAAAAAAAACAAGTTGGAAACCCACTTCAGCACGCAAGAGATATGGGACTATCTTAAATAGAAAAATGAGAGGAGCGGTTTTGATCTACAGTCCACCTTCAGAAAGTATCATTAAGTGAACGTTGATGGTGTCTGAAGTGTGTCCAGGAGTCTTACCTGTCCAAAACATGTCATGGTGTTCCCCTCCATCTTCTCACACTGGCTATCACACTCCAGGCACACAGATCCATTGGAAAATTCCCGCATCTCCCTGATAGAGATAGGAAAATCAAGATAGAGGTGCATGTATTATAGATTTGAGAGCATACCCAGTTGAAATATTGATTGAGAGCATGCTGTGGAGGATTTTGAAGTCCGCTGTGTGTATGCGCGCCAGCTGTACATAGCAACCTTTTGATTATAGTATAATAATAATAATAATAATATAATCATTATACCAACATGCTATACAGTATCAAGAAAGACAGGTCAAAGCTTCATCTCCCTGATTTCTAACTGCACTGCCTGCTGGAGTGCCCTCCGGTAGAGGGGCACGCAGGGCAGATCGCTGCCTAAGACTATTTGATCAAGTTAAAGGCTTAGTATGGTCAATATGCAAACAGGAAGGCTCATGAATAATTAACAGCCTTTTCAAATGGTGGGCAAACACGAGGGGATTCGTGGAGGGAGGAGGAGAGCTGGTGGAAGGGAATGGGGAAGGAAGCCAGGGAGAGGGCATGGAAAAAAAGAGTAAGACAAATAATAAATGTTATTTATGTCTAATCAAATATGATATCATTGCAGTCGTGCATCTGGTAGGAGAGTCTTTATGTAGCCATTTTGAGCACTGCATGTAGTCCATGATGCTTCGGCTTTTAGTCTTCTGGAGGCGAACAATAGAGCTCGATATTGGGTTTATACCGTGCAATTACCCAGACAGGAGCCGCAGAGTGCCCCAGGCCGCACGGTTGCATCCCCATTAGTCCATATGTGTGTGTTTGCATGCACCAGATCCATACATTTCTCCCATTGTTTGTGTCAGGTTCAGTACAGTATCTGTTTTTGAAGTCTCCGGCGAGCGGAGGATTGCGGGCCGTCGATACGAACCGCGGCCGATCAAAAACACTTTTCACATCAGAGGGATCGATCAGCCGATGCTGAGGAGGACAGACATGTCTCAGAGGAGGATACACCCGGTTACAAACAAGAACCCTTTTCTCACAGCGGTGGGATAATAAGGGGGATAATGAGGGGGATTCTGGGTGCGCGGTTTGTTTGTGTTTGGATGAGATGCTACTCGGGTGGAATATAGATTCAACAGATTCTTCTTTGTGAGCTGTTTTTTTTACGTGATTTTGCATATTTGGATGGCCGGCGGGTATGTGTGTTTTACGCATTTTCATTGGGTGCATTTTGGAAACATCTTAGACGTGCAGGTTCTAAAAGCCACAAAAAAGAGAGACACTGCAGAATTCCACTGTATCACATTAAGGGGCAATACAAGTGAATATAAAACACTAGAGTTCCCTTTTCCCGTGCCTTTTATAGCAGATGTGTACCGTAATTTTTGGACTATAAGCCGCACCTGAATATAAGCCGCAGCAGCGGCATACCACTCTCGGTTCCACTTTTACTTTTGCGCTCCCTGTCTCACTCTTTCCGGCCTCCAGCTTTTCCTGCTGGAACCCGCCGCTTAAAGGTGGGGGTCCGCGGACCGGCAATAGAGCCCATAGAGTTAAAGGTGTTGGCCATAGATTAGCCGCACCGTTATATAAACCGCAGCGTCGAAAAATAGGGAAAAAGGCGCGGCTTATAGTCCGAAAATTACGGTACTACTATTTTGACTACTTTTTAATGACTTCTTGTTTGGAAAAATGCTCATTTGATTATAATATGGGGAAATTGATTGATTAACTGATTGATTGATTGATTGATTGATTGATTGATTGATTGATTGATTGTATACTATTCTGAAGGCTTAGTCTATGATATATTAAATATCTTGGTTTCGGAAAGTAACAAAATGTTTTCCTAACCCTCCCCTCCCTGCTCGTCTCAAGCCCCAAACATACAGTATCACGGTGTCCTTTTATTAATAATGTTTTTCAGTGGGATTCAAAGGAAACTCCCATTGCTCTTTGCACATTTCTCCCTCGTCTATCTTTCCCTTGTTCAAAAATAAATGAGTTTTCTCTCCTGGAAGCTCTGTCCAGGGGAATCCTTTAGAAACAGGGCCCAGGCCGTGCGGAGATATCTCCTTTGTTGTATGAGGGGGAGAAAAAATACATGGACGAGAATAGGTGAGAGACAAAGACCTCGGCAACGGTGCTCTCCAGGGTCATTTCCATTCCTTCAAAGCCGTTCCTCCTGATCGGCCCCCTTCACGGCTGGAAGTGTGCGCCAAGGGCCCCGTCGGGGGGGAAGGCCTGACGGGGGATTAGCCCTGTTTTAGCAGGAGTTTAAGCAGGACTGTGGCTACTATTCAGACCCCCAAACCAGAGCATGGGCAACCCAGCAGAGCAACTTTTTTAATTACACACTTTCAACGCCTGCCTAATCCCCCCCCCACCCCCCCGAAACCCCAGTGGACACCATCTCAGCCGTTTTCCTTTTCCCATCTCGCACGCCTCTGCTCCTCCTTTGTTTTATTCAAGAGACGTATAAACTAAAGGGAATTAGTGCCTTTACTCATTAAGAATGGAGACGTGTAAAGAGGGCGAGCTGAGGAATCTTAAGGTTTAAAATCATCGACCTGGAAACAAATTTAATGAGCCAACGCTCAATTCTGTAGAGAGTTACAGTCTAATACAATAGATTCAGAGCAACAGTACAACTCCATTTACAGTAACTTACCAATTATTAATATTACAGCAAGTTACTGACAAAACAGGTAACGCTCTATGAAGACGATGGGATACTTTGATTTACAATGCTTTTGAACCATAAAGCATGGAAACCTGTCACGGTAGAGGTACGACATACACACATGAACCTATAATGGAGCATAGGGCTCCTTTAATACTCTTTTAAAGGATGAAACTCACCACTCTCTATGTGCATATAAAGAGTATTATTTAAAGCCTTTTGGAACCAACTTGCCTTTTTCTCTCTGTTTCCCCTACCATTGTCTTGGCGGGGCGCCCTGCCTGAAATTCAAGGTGTATTTTTGTTTTGTTTTTTTATTTAAAAAATATATATTTATAGCACCAAATTGCAACTGAAGTAATCTATCTACGGTCACTTTTCACATTGAACATGTGCTCTTTTATTAAATAAACTAAACGCCTTTGTTATTTATCCAATGTATGTGCATGTTTCAGTGTCCACAGCTTTGCGTATTCACATTCTCCCTCTGCTCCCCCCCTCACACACACACACACACACACACACACACACACACACACACACACACACACACACACACACACACACACACACACACACAATCAGAGACAAGAGCGGAGGAAAGGAGGAGAACAACAAAGTGTAAAAAAGTCAAACAAATCTGCATTATGGCCCCGAGCGCTGCTGTCTGCCCGCTTGTGTCGCCCCCCCCCCAGTTTCAAATTTGTTTATTATTATTTTTTAACTGCAAGCCGTTATCGTCACTGCCCAGGTGGACGCATGCGAACGCGACAACGAACGTAGCGTGCGCATTCTAAAAATAGCTCACAGATGGTGAGCAGNAAGACATCAAGTAAAAACCATACACATATTTGCCAATGGGGCAGCCACATGTAGATGTGGTTGGTATATGATCATGTGACTTCTTATTTCTATACTTATTCAGTGTTTCCCCTACCATTGTCTTGGCGGGGCGCTGCGCCCTGCCTGAAATTCAAGTTGTTTTTTTTTATTTAAAAAAAAATATATATATATATATATAGCACCAAATTGCAAATGAAGTAATCTATCTACGGTCACTTTTCACATTGAACATGTGCTCTTTCATTAAATAAACTAAACGCCTATGTTATTTATCCAATGTATGTGAATGTATCAGTGTCCACTGCTTTGCGTATTCACATTCTCCCTCTGCTCTGTTTCGGAAGGGTGGGGCTCCCCCCACACACACGCGAATGCACACATTCACAATCAGAGACAAGAGCGGAGGAAAGGAGGAGAACAACAAAGCGTAAAAAAAGTCAAACAAATCTGCATTATTGCCCCGAGCTCTGCCCGTTTGTGTCCCCCCCCCCCGTTTCAAATTCGATAAAAATATTATTTTTTAACCTCAAGCCGTTATCGTCACGGGAGAAGGACACAAACAGCCTGCCCAGGGGGACGCGCGCGAACGCGACAACGAACGTAGCGTGCGCATTCTAAAAATAGCTCACAGATGGTGAGCAGGTACCGCGGTTTTGAACTACAGTATTGAATTTGACAGAAAACAACAATGAAACGCCAGCAGAAGAATAGTCTAATGAGTTGAGTGAATACAAAGACAGGAGATGTGAGTTGGTTTATTCAGTAAATTAGCTCAGGATAATTGGATGTTCTGTCTACACCTGTTGATGTGAGGCTAATGCAGGATTTGCTAGCTTGATGCTACCGGCATTTAGCGGCAGTGACTCAACAAATTGCCTCTTAAAATGTATCGTCAGCAATGTATGACAAGCAGACTGCTTGTTTAATGTTAGACTCACACCAATAGCTCAATATGATCATAACACGATTGCTTTCATATCAGAGATCAGATGAGGTGGAGCAATAGAGGATGAGGCAGAGAGAAAGCAGCAGCAGCACAGGGTTGCAGCAGGTATGTTATATGCTGTAGTCAGGTGATTTAAATGTATCAATGAAAGGAAGAAGTGTAGGCTACATGATAAGGGAATACAGTTTGAATAAAAGTAGTACAGTGTAACACATTACTTTTTAATGTAAAAATACGTTGTTACTGTACGATATCAATAACAATAATCAAAAAATAAATTCGAGCAGCACCCTGCCAAGTCAGTAAACCTAGGGGAAACACTGTACTGTATTATATGTATGGTCTATTTTTAAGTTGTGTAGTAGGAAGTAAGTTTTGTATCATGGCTTGAGACTGAAAGCATATGACCACCAGGGGGGAAGATACAGGTTTTCTAAGATTTCCATCTCATGAAAGCTACCCTTTATCTGTCAAAGATACACAGTGCTTGGCAGGGGGGGGACTTCTTTCCCTAGGCTTTAAATTATGGACATTCTGGTTCAAAAGTTCAGGGCAGTAACACAAAGCAGGGAGTGTGCCTGACTGTCAATGCATCGCAGCGATTGTATTTACAGTATAGGAGACAAGTGTGCTTCAGCAGCTCCCTGCCACGTGTCTCTTCCTCACCAGTCTTCTTCAAAGCCTTCGCTGTGAGCTGTTTTCCCGGCAACTTCAAAGCCTCCCTCCCACAGCCGGTGCCGGGAGAAAGACCAGTAACAAGTCAACATGACCAATGGTTTGTACACCCTCTCCCTCACACATACCCTCTCCACTTCCCCCTTGGGAGAACACGAGCTTGACCTCACCACTCGCGAGAAAGTCCTATCTATCTTGTGGCACACGCTGCCTTATATTAGACGGGTGCTTTCAAGTGTTGTCATTCAAAACATCTCCTAGTACATTCAAGAAGAGCACAAAAGACTACAAAGACGCATTTCACCGGTCCCCAGATGAGCTGGCAGTGCGCTTTTTTGATGTACATAAAGCAATGACCTGAATGCAATTATTCACACTGAAAACAGAACATCAGTGGATTGTGAGGACACTCAAAGGGCCTTTGTCGCAAATGTCAGTTATCTCCCAGCTCAGAGCAGTAAACTCTCTTTTTCTGCCAGCCTGAATGGGCAATTTGTAATAAAATATAATACTTCAACGGTATATTCAAATTGATTATGGACTATGGCTGTAACAGGCAGCCAAATGTTCCTTTAACTGCTCACGGTAACTGTTCACAGAGTGAAATTCCTTATTGGTTCATCTCATTACATTCATGCCAATGCAATTAGACTCCCCTCCTCCAGAGCTCTTGAGAATGTTTTGACTTCATTCTCATGCATCAAAGCGGCTTAAATTGATTTGATTTCTTCTGTTTGTCATGTGCGGCTGTTTGCAAGGGGAATGAATGCAGTCTCCTGAAACTATAATGATCTGATATTCAGGAAAACGCTTCATTTCCGGGTCAGATTCGTGTCATATCAGATCAAACATTTACCCGAAATGCATCGACATGAATAAAAGAAGTGTTTTCTGAATGGATTACTCACCCGTCAAAAAGGTTGCAGGACTCCACGCAGGTGCGGCCCCGCCTGAAGTACCTGCAGGAGAGACACTGGTCGGGCCCCGGGCCCCAGCACCCGTCGTCCGAACACATGCCATCACACACCATGCGCTGCTGAGCTGTGGAGAGGAAGAAAGCCTGTAAGAGAGCCTGTAGCCTGCACCAGTGGAGGAAAGTAACTAAGTACTCTAGTAATTGATTATTATTAATACAACATATAAATGCATGTATACATGAACCTATATAATTATAGGGTTAGCTAGTAGTATATCAAGTCATTTGAATAAACCCCACTTTTACCAGGAAGTTACAAACACATTAATGCATTGATAATTATAGTACGATAAAAATACACGGTTCTTAAATGGACCATTCTGCATAATGACTCCTTACTTAAAGTACAATTTTCACCTTGTAGAATTGCTACTATGACTGTTCTTTGTCCACTGCTGAAACCCACACATATCATTAAATTCAAGCACACTTGAAACTTGATATGATACATTAATAGCTCTGAAGTTAAAGCATCTTATAGTGGTTTATATTATACAATTTAATCTAGAGGATGGCAGCGTGTTTTACCCAAGGATGTCTAAAGAGAACTAGATACAGTAAAGACACCGTTTCCTATGATAAGCCCCGCCTTCTATCTGCCCATCTCGGCTCCGTCAAATGAATAGAGAGGGAAAATATAACTCTGGTTTTGCTTTTAGTTGATTTTACAACGTTGAGAGGGTTAAAAAAGTGTTTGTTTTTGAATAACTTTTTAAAAACGACGGCTATTTCCCAATGTAAGGAGATGGTGAAAAGTGTGTTTGGGCCCGTTATGGACAAGAACAGAATCATATTTGGCCACTACGAAAAATGTGCTTCAAAAGGCCAGCGCACTTCCTGATGGCTTGGTTTTACCATGCATTTTCTTGCATTAGTGTGCGATTGTGTGTGGTCTAGCCGAGGGACGCCCAGCTGTGTGAGTTCTACATTAGTGTTCCCAACACTTCCGCAATTAAAGACCGCCCGTAACAGAACCCTAAGCCCTTTTTTCCCTCAGTCGAACCACAACAATCGATGCTGTTCATTGCACTCAGCGTGTCCTCCATCCGGTGATTGGCAACCACGTCCCCGGGTGTGTCGCCCAGTGGGGGCAGAAACCCTTTGTCAACAGCCGAACAGTCAATGTTAGACAGTGGGGCTAGAGCCTAATGAAGAGGCCTGTGTGAGGCTGCGTCGATCGATTTCTAAACACACACCGCAGTCATTAACTGGCTAATGATATCAAACACAGCCAAGAAAAACTACAGTGTCCGTGTTTTCTCGGTCTTTACTGGCACATTACACGACCAAAGAAATGGTTACTAAGGGATGATAATGCCATTTTCAATTAATTGCAAAACCACGGTGACAATTCCCTCCTTGTATTACACCTCCCTCCCTCCACTCCACAGTTTCCACCATCTGCAGCTCAATCCACATGTACTCTATTCATCGTTTCCATCAGGTGTCCGCTTCCCTGTGGCTAGCAGTGAGCTTAATCCACCTCTGTGCATGACGCATTAAGCACTTTCCTCACAGGGCGCTGAATAAGGGCTTTCATGGCCGGGCAGCTTAGAGACGCTCGTGACACAGTCGCCTTGGAAACGGGCATGGTGTAGTGTAAGGCTGGGGGGGGCGAGATGGATTTGCAGAGATACGCGGGGCATCTGGAATTAATTAGAGGACTAATAGGAAGGAAAAAGAGAGAACAGAGGAACTTTAAAGCTGTTTTGTTACCACCAAATGTGTTTCTTTTTCAAAAAATCCCAAATTGACACACCAGACTGTTTATTTGTAACCAAAGAAAGTACTGCTTTGAACCAGAGTTAAAACGTATTTCATCAAACGGACTACTTACTGCATTCCTTCGGCTCTCTGTTGTTGCGGATCAGGACTTTCTGACTGGACGTCCTGAAGAGAGACGTCCAGTTGACGGTGTTGTAGAAGCACAGGCGGCTGTTGTTGAAGATGTACACGTTCCCGGCGCTGATCTCGTCCAGCGACTGGAACTGAAGCGAGGAGATCCAACGCTGCTTCAAGATCAACAGAGAAATACCACTACCGCTGCAGGAGACAGAGAAAAAGGAAATATTGACAAAGTTGAGATAGATAGTGAGGGGAAAAGACAGATGTGAGATGAAGAACAGGGTGATAAAAAGTTTTTAAAATGAGTGGAATGAAAGAGAAATGTAGCACAAAGAAGGAGTTAGACTGAGAAGGAGGTTGCTTCTGCCCTAAATGACCCATTACTGAGTTACAGGGTCATCAGTGGTGTTCTCCTTTGACTCTGCCAGCACTATCTCTTGGATCTGCCACTTGTGAGCGAACACAGAACCTGTTATCAAAAACGGGGCTAATCAAAGCTGCGTGATGCTTCAAAGGGCCTCTGTGCAGTACATCACGGCCTGGCGGCTCATTAGCCCCAACAGTAGCCATTCAAGTACACGAAAACAGCAAGAAAGAGGGAGATATGAGGAGCTTTTCCAGCAAAGATAGCACATATAATACAAGCATTTCATTTGTAATTAGGTACAAACATGCATGTAAGGAGTTTTTTTTAATTTCATTATAGTGTACAGTAATTGATGCCATTTCATTTATATTGTAATATCAAAGTACCACAGTACATCACTACACTCCCCCCTCCCTCCCTCCACCCGCACATGCCCACACGGGCGAAAAAAATAAGAAAAAAATGCTTATCAATATTGCTTAAACAACAGAGCCATGAAAATAAACATAAAACAAAAAAATAAAAATAAAAAAACATCAAAGTAAAACAAACAAATAATTATACAATTAATTATACAATACAGCGACAAAGTAGACAATGACAACACAACTAGTATTTCCGGCCGTCAGGAAAACGAGCCACAGAATGCACCATTCCATCACTGGTCATATCTCAGATATATTTTCCAAATAAGAAAACAATGGCAACCACAGAGCTTGAAAAATATGTCCACGATTATATTTTTCCAATGTCATTTTCTCCAGAGGTAAAAAATGTGTTATCTGATCAATGAAAAGTTTAAATGTTGGAGGACGTTCATTCTTCCAGAGTAAAAGTATACATTTCTTGGCAAAATATGTTATTGTGATTAGTATTCTATAATGTTTGGGGTTCAGTTTAAAGTTTGGCATGTCATTTAACAGGAAAAAACATGGATTTTGGCTCATTTCGATTCCTAAAACGGCTTTTGTGAGCGCATGAATCGAATCCCAGAAATGTTTCAAGAGATCACAGTCCCAAAACAGATGCATAAATGTTCCTTCTTTTACTTTACATCTCGGACATTTTGGAGAGTTTTCTTTGGAAATTTTATGCATCTTTCTGGGTGTGAGGTAAAATTTGTTGAGAAATTTAAAGTTTGCTTCTTTGATTTTATTGCTTGTGAATGGAAAATGTGTTCTTTCACAGATATTCAGCCATGTAGTTTCATCTATCTGTATCCCTAAGTCCTTTTCCCAGATTTTTTTTAAGGTTGGAAAGGATGACTGAGCTCTTTTAGAAAAAACTGCATTAAATTCTCTAATTTTACCTTTGATTGTGCTCGATGACATCAATATCTCCTCCTCTTCCAACAATCCCGATCTCAATTTATTGCTTTTAATAATTGATTGGATCACGTTCCTAATTTGCAGGTATCTGAAAAAATCCTTATTTGAAATGTCATATTCTGCTCTTAAGTCATTAAATGATTTCAATGTTATATCTTTGTGAAACAAATGTTTCAATTGCTTTATACCTGATTTCGTCCATTTGTTTATATTGATTGACAACAAATATTTGCTAAGATCAGGATTGTTCAAAATAGGAGAAAAGATTGAAATACCTGAGTTAACATGAACTTTTTTTGTACAGTCCCTCCAGGCTAAAAGTGTATTGACCACTGTAAAACATTTGGCCATATTTTTCACCTTATTGAAATCTTTAACAAATATAAGAGTTTCCACTGGCAACGGGTCAAAGACATTGGCTTCTATCTGAACCCATAGTGAATCCTTTCTTCCCAGAAACCAAGATGGTACATTTCTTAATTGAGCTGACCAGAAGTAGTGTTGAAAGTTGGGAAGACCAAGACCCCCCATGGTTTCTGGTTTCATAAGAGTAATTAACTTGTTTATTTTTATTTGCCCAGATATATTTTGATATATGTTTGTTGTCAGATTTTAAATAGATCAGCGGATATTTAGCTGTGGTAACATTTGAAAAGAAAAACTACCTCAATGGCGGAACGCGCTGATAAACATCACACTTCAGAGGTCTTGTCATGTTCTCATTTTAGCAAACAATGCATGTTTGAGCATATCCTAAAGGATAAAACAGCTGCTAGGTATAGCTGTGCGAAACAGGTATAAACCGGAAATTGAAGTCATGATCAAGTATCACAATTCTTCCTAAGACTAGTATAAGTCTGCTTGCAAAAACTAAGTAGACTGAAATTTTTCAAGTGCTATCCTCGTACTCACCATCTGCTTATTCGCATCTTCTGTCGGTCTTAGTACTATAATCGTTTCAAGTTTTTTTTAAGAAAGCTACAGAGGAATGTATCAAAATCACTTGAGAGTGCAAGACTTTCGAAAGAGTCGCAAGCTAAAGTGGCAGAACCGTCCACAGTAATTAGGTAGACACAAAGCTTCAAGATTAACAAAAGAATCTTTATTTGTAGTAATAATGTGGCTGTATCAAGAGAAGCTGCAAATAAGGTTTACAGTAAACTCTAAATGTTGGTGATTGTAGCATGAACCAACAAGCTACTAAATAAATCAAATGAATGGTATCCTTTGAATTCTCTCCACCTGGTTTGAAATGTAACACGTAAAGAAATTCTTGTCATGCACGTAAATTGAAAAAAGTGAGTTTAGCTTTTGGTTTAGCTATGCACATTTACCGTTTTAGTTCACTCTCCGGGCTCGGATAATTGCGTTCCGATGCAGCGGAGCATCGTTTTTCAGATAACAGCTGGTAAAGCCACTGTAGACTACTCTCAGCAGCAGCAGCAGACAGACACAGTTAGAGACTGGTGAAGATATTGTGACTAACAGAGAGCAGATATTGGACTAGATTTTAACCAAAACAGCTACTCCGCTACAGGCTGAAAAATATGCTAAGGAGAAGCAGCAGGAGTGAACCAAAACCAAAGTAGCAGACCATACAATCCCAAACAATGAGCTGAAAGACACGTTACAAAAAAATCGTTCTTTGCTCTCTCATACTTGAAAATATCATTTAAAGGTCACCTATCATGCGTATTGTTAGGCGAATAGCAGTAGGTACTCATGATAGTGCTGGGTAAAAAAAAAAAGACAGATCCCATCTAGCAGTGCACTCATATCCTCTATCTTCTATGTTCCAAGTGCTGATCTGGGTATAAAGAGGTCACTCGTGAGTCGAGAACCCTGACACCAGCGAGATCTTCCCCTGTATAAAATAAAAGGCTAAATAAATAATTAAAATAAAGGCTTACTTTTTTTAAAAACTGAAAAAAATACAAATATGAGGGGACGGAGCTTATGCGCCTCATGCGAGACTTGCAGATACTGTCTAAAATCCTGCGGTGATGGAAACACAAGGATTATTAGATTCATGGATTATTTCTGAAACAGTATGGAGCTCAAATCTTTCTCTTTTGCCGGGTATTCACAGTGAGTTCCTGTTTATTTCCTGATTCTTCACACAGATGCTCTCTCCAGTAAAGCGGCGTTAGCATCTGAAGCTATAAGCGATCTAATCTAGCACTGATCATATACGCCAGAAGAGATGCAATGTGTCTGGATAGCAAGTCGCTGATAGTGCGTCGCGCGATTTGACGTCATATCGCGAATCTGGATCAAGCTCAGGCAGTACCCTCGTTTATAGACATTGCAATGGAGAAAACAGAAAGTTATTTTCTGGACATTGCGTGAGTCCTCTGATCAGTCAAAACATTATTTATCTATAAAAGACATAAAAAAGGCTTGCATGTACTATAGATCCCCGGTAAATACTTAATAGTAATACATTTGGTTATACTGCTGAGTACAGGTGGCTTGATTGATCAGAATAGATACACAAATTAAACATTTTCCCATGCTTTTCTAAATTGACGTGCTGTATATTCTGTTATCCGTATAGCCTCACGCCAATTTATTATCTCTCAATCAATTATTTGAGAAAATACATGAGCTGTATTATTACTCTTAATTGCCATGTTATGTTACCCTGACTCTGAATATATGTAAGAAATGTGTGCTGTATATGATCTGTGTGTGATGGTGGAGGTGAGACTCACAGTATTGATGACAGTAGTACGTGTCTGTGTATGCTCTGTGTGTGTATCTGCGAGTAAGTCCATTTCTCTTTCAACTCGCATGAATATCGTAACGTTTGGTCTCTAACATGACCCGTGTTGGACATGAGGAATATGCCAATACAAAACTTCAGCATGATGGCTTCGATGTCCGTGACAGTCTATGGATTTAGCAATATGTCATTATATGTCATCATGGTCTTAATTACATATTCCTAGTGTCATTAGCAGTCGAGACTTGACTTGAGTTAGTATGTGAATAGACATTAGAAGAGCTGGACTTTACTATTCATATCTATTATAATTATAATGAGCAATATCTTTATCTTAAAGGTCCCATGTCAGAGCTCCACAAGGCCGTTTATATGAGCTGTGAACACACATACTATACAGATGCTGTATGAATATAATGTCAATGCTGATATTGGAAAATTGCCACGAATATACATCTATTCTAGTCAGGACCTCACATGAAATATTGTTGATAGTGCAAAAAAGGCCATGACATGGGACCATAAATGTAAGATGTTGTATACACTAGGACAAAAAACATGCTAATCTATATTTAGATAACATCATTTTTACCTTCAGTTTGTCTGCATTCTTGCCTTAACCTAGTTCTGTTTTAATACAAAACAGACCTGCATCTTCCTTTCAGCATCATGGGCTATAAAAATTCAGGCTACGTCAATATTTGCATATTTATTGACAGCCAAACGTGTTATTTCTGCGTTATGGATGAAATCTCAAAGAGACAAATCAAGCCACATCTGATTCGAGAAGTAAAATGGTCTCTGCAGTAATTTAATTTTCCTATCGTAAATATGGCAGAACTTGTACTGATCTCTGAACTTTTCTAGCCATACCAAGGTATGAATTTTTATCACAGCCAGTGGCTTTACGATCAAATAACTGCAAGAGTAATGACCATCCCATGCACTCGCTTTTTGCGTTCATCGGGATTTTACAGAGGATGTACAAAGGTTGTTATGAACATTGTCTTCAGATAAAACTAATATACACCACCTGAAAGAAATTGTTCCAGTAGGTTGGCAGGGCTTCTAACTGATGATTTTACATCACAACCCATTACGGATGTAGTTCCAGAGGTTTGTAAATTAATCATGAACCGAGCTGTTGCCT